CCTTTCCTTGGATGGAGGGTGATCGATTTCACATTGACAATCTATATACTTCACTAACCGTTACTGAGAAAGGAAGAACAGAAAAGATTGAAGTGGCAAACCTGTTCTCATCAAGCAAAGAGCCCGTTAGACGTATTCTGATAGAAGGAGAAGCAGGTATTGGCAAATCAACATACTGTAAGAAGATTGCATATGACTGGAGTAAGGGTAAGCTAGTAATCTCCGATGTTGACCTAGTATTGGTTATCAAGTGCTGCGACTTGAAAGATGGTGACTTATGGCAGGCCATCAAGGAACAGAATTTACCCGAAGATCTTGGGCATGAAACTAAAAAAGCTGAAGAAGTTTACGACTACATTAGGGTCAACCAGCGGAAAATATTACTTATGCTTGATGGATTTGATGAAATTCCTGCAACTACAGATACCACAATGAAACAGAGCATCAAGGAGTTAGTTACTGGCAAGCTGCTATCCAACGCTCGTGTCATCCTTACTTCTCGCCCAGAAAGGTGTTCAGATATACGTAAATCTTTTGACAAAAAGCTAGAAATGACAGGTTTCAGTTGGAACGACTCCTGTTACTTTATTAATCATTTTTGTTCCTCATCATACAACGCAGCTGAAACTATTTCATCTCTTGAAAAGACTGCAGCTATCAGAGAACTAACTCGCTGCCCCTTRAATGCTTCTTTCTTGTGCCTCATACTTGAAGAGAAGGAAGATGATGGCGAGTTCTTTGAGTCGCTTGGCATTGGTTCCCTTTACCGTGAAATGGTTTTCTGTGTGATAAAGAGATACTGCGTTGAGAAAAAAGGACAGGAAGTCCAAGATGATACCTTGCTGGACAAATACCATGAGCCACAAGTTGCGTTGGGAAAGATAGCATTTAACCTGATGAAAGACAACCTTACCAAATTTGGAGAAGAAAAGTTGCCTGACGATTCGAAGCAWATTCTGARAGACATTGGCTTTCTWATCGAGWACARGWMWTTGAACAWAWYAARGCCAAMATCTAYATAYTKCTTCTCTCACTCGTCAATCAAGGAGTATTTTGCTGCATTATATGTGGCAGAATGTTTGAGAAACGGCAACATTGACACTTTGACATCCATCCACGAGTTCACAGAAAACCCATCATCAACAGGTATAGGGAACTCTAACCATGTCCAGAATGTTTACTACAGTTTACAGAGATTCAATCTGGCCAAGATGGTGAACCTTTCCAGTAGTGAAGATCATATTAAGCTTATCAATGATCTTGCATCTCATTTACCTAATGACATTGATGTATCTCAAGCTGAGCATATCAGGTTTGACTTTATTTTCTCTTTCATTTGTGAAATTCTTGGAAATTGTAAGGAAGATGAGGTTACTAAGGTTATAACTGAGATCGCAATTCCAGATTTGCCGCTTGTATTATATTTATACAATGGTAGACAAGCATTAGATGGTTTTATTTCTCTTTTGTCACAATCTAGAGAAGAATCCTCTAAAGTAAGATTTAAGATCCTACGTCTAGAGGGTTTGCAAGCTGTTTCATTCTCTAATCCGATAGAAAATTTCATTGCATTCTCACGATTTCTTGGGAAACACAGATTTTTGAAGACAATATATTTGTCTTTCTTTTCAAATTTGACGGATTTTACACTTTTCTTAGAAAAGTTTCAAAGCACCAGTGTAGAAAATCTTAGCTTGCGCTATATTCCCCAAAACATTAGTAGCAAGGATTCTAATATGTTTACGATTCTGAGAAGTCTTCGTAACTTGACTCTCCTTGACCTCTCATACAGCTCAATAACAAATGATCCGCAGTTCTTTAATTCAGAGGGTCAATCGACTAGTACCACTGCACTGCGGGTTCTTAAATTATGCCATTGCAATCTAAGTTTACGCAATGTTCGTTTCATTCTTGGTTCTTTGCGCACGATTACCACTCTTACAGAACTTGATTTGTCAGGAAATGACTTCAGTGATGGTATCTCTTTTGAACTAAAGGGTAGTACAATACAAGTACTTGGGATGAAGACTTGCAATCTAAGATCAAACAACCTTGATTCTATTTTTTGTTCTTTGCGCATGAGTGCCATTCTAAAAGAACTTGATTTGTCTGGAAATGACTTTAGTGATGGTATCTCTTTTGATCTAAAGGGTAGTACAATACAAGTACTTGGGATGAAGACTTGCAATCTAAGATCAAACAACCTTGATTCTATTTTTTGTTCTTTGCGCACGAGTACCACTCTAAAAGAACTTGATTTGTCTGGAAATGACTTCAGTGGTGGTCTAGGCCGGTTTGATCTAGGGCCGGGTTGTTCAATCGATTTTTTTTCAGTCAGTTTTCTTTCTTTGTACACGAATCCTACTCTAAAAGAACTTGTTTTGTCTGGAAATGACAGTGATGGTATTTCTTTCGATCTAGGGGGTAGTACAGTACAAGTACTTAGGATGAGTAATTGCAATCTAAGATCACCTTATGCTTCTCGCAGTCTTCGTTTTTTGCGCAATAGTACCACTCTAAAAGAACTTGATTTGACTGGAAATGCAATAGATGCCGAGGCCCAATCGTTAATTCAAAGTTATGTTCCTGATGCCAAGATCCTTTTTTAGATTCATAACCAACTTAGTATTCTTCTGTTCATTTGATGTTTCCAGTCGTGGGTTCAATCCCTGGACCATGAATCATCACGTACGTCAGTCCGATTGTTGATTTGCTCCCTTATCATGACAGTTTTCACCAGATTCTCTTTTCCTTCCCCTCCAAGTTAATTCTATATTTAGGCTTTCACTTAGATTGCTATSTTGTTGCCTCATGTTGTCATACAACAACGAAAAAGAGTTCGCCTTTAATGATAAACCTCCAAATGAAAGATGTATGCATGATATATTGCCATTAAATAACGGTGTTCAAATCTTGATTTATATAGTAAGTAAACCCTTCAGGCATGTCTCTAGTGATTGACGCACTCCTTAATGTACATGACGGGTGCCAACTTTGCTTTTATGATTAGTAGGTGAAACTTATCTGTTTCACTGTATCTATCTGCTATTTTAGATATTGTAGTCCCTAGGGAATTGACGCACCTCTTAGCAAATATAAATCACGGGTGCTAACTAGGTTTGCTATTATGATTAGTGGATGAAACGTATCTGTTTCAGTGTATCTTTATGCTATTTTAGATATTGTAGTCCCTAGGGAATTGACGCACTCCTTAGCAAATATATATGACGGGTACTAACTAGGTTTGCTATTATGATTAGTGGATGAAACGTATCTTATATAATGTATCTATCTGCTATTTTAGATATTGTAGTCCCTAGGGAATTGACGCACTCCTTAGCAAATATATATGACGGGTGCTAACTAGGTGTGCTATTATGATTAGTGGATAAAACGTATCTGCTTCACTGTATCTATCTGCTATTTTAGATATTGTAGTCCCTAGGGAATTGACGCACTCCTTAGCAAATATATATGACGGGTGCTAACTAGGTTTGCTATTATGATTAGTGGATGAAACGTATCTGTTTCACTGTATCTAT